GGAAAGAAAAGATGGACAGCTCTCAACACAACACATAGTATGTACTACATAGGCTTTCTTGAAATCAAAATTTATTGCTATATATTTTTTAATCCTCTCATATGTTCTGCTATGCATATGACATGCTTTTTTTCTTTTTTTGTTTTGTATTTAAGTTTATAATGTTTATTTTTCTTTTCTTATTATGTATTTAAGTTTCATCAATTAAAAAAGAAGGGTCCTATTGGTAGGGATAGTAATTGAGAAATTACAGTGATGTTAAAAAAAATATTATCACTAAAATATTTTTTAAAAAATATTGAAAGACTGTATTTAACATGAATGTATATGTAGACCCTATATCGGATTGTGCACTGTCTCGGGGTGGGAGGGGAAATAAGAGGGAGAGACAATTTAAAACTCAAAATCTTATGGAAGTGGATTTTGAAAACTAAAAATAAATAAATAAATATTGAATGAGGGTGCTGATGTAGGCACCATTGGGAGCCACCCCCTCATATGAGTAAAATCATAACCTAGACACTAGGGGGAAAAAAGGAGTAGCAGCTGCTCAGGTGAGGAGATGGGGAGCCCTTGGTTCGTAAGTGGGAGGTTTCTTTGGCCAGTGTTAAACACAACCTTTGATATTGGGAGAAAATCTTAAGCACATTGACACCTGGGTTGCTAGGGGTTAATGTGTAGCACCAGAACTGAATGCTGCTACCAGCTGCCTTCTTGAAATCTATTTGGGTGGCCAGTTTTAACTTGAATTCAATTTTTGGAACAATAAAAAAATTAAGAAGACAAAACACTTAAGTACACAGAAGGGAGAAGCACACTTTGTGTAGGCTATGTAGTAACCATTCAAATACCAATCCATTTTGATAGTTTCTCTTTGAGAAATGGAAATAAAAATCAGACAAGTGATCAATTTTGTATGGTTAAAATAGAGCTTCATATAATGTTATATCTCTTATCTTTCTAGGTTTCATCAGGTCTGCGCTTGTATTTGTGCTCACATGGTACTCATTAGGAGGGAAATGCTTTGAAATTGTAGTTCAGATTAGGCAGCATATTGGAAGTGATTTAATTTCAGTATAAACTGTTTATAACTCTAAGCTTTGTTTCTCCATGAAATTCAGTTCATACTGTGATAAGTTCTCTACCCTGCTCAAATAATGCTTAGGAAGGACACAGTGATAGCTAGTCATAAAGCTTTTTGATGAGTTTGGAAAATAAAAAAACTAGCTTTTTAAATTTTGGTCAAGTATGTGGTGCTTTCAATTGAAATCACTCCAGAACCTCTTCATAGAAAGCATAACCTACATTAGTCCCAATGCTTCAGTGGAGATATTTCAGAGATATTTCAGAGACACAGTCAAGAACACCAGATATTTCTCTATGAGGTCTATGAGTTGAGATAAAATTGAGCATTAGATCTTGGGGAGTCATTCCATGCTATAAGTATTGAGTCCCATTTTAAAATAATCCCCCATCTGTATATGTGTGAAATGTCCCTCAGTACCCCTCATCCTAGGTGGCACAGTGGAAAGAGTACTGGGCCTGGAGATAGGAATACTCATCTTCCTGAGTTCAAATCAGACCTGAGACACTTACTACCTGTGTGACACTTAACCTTCTTTGCCTCAATTTCCTCGTCTGTATAATGAAAAAGGAAATGGCAAACCATCCAGTGTCTTTGCCAAGAAAACCCCAAATGGGGTCACAAAGAGTTGGACACAATTGAAAAACAACAACACTCCTCATCTTACAAGGGTAAGTGGTGTCATATGAAAAAATATATAGGTCTTTATTTTTTATTTTGTATTTTCATAAACATTGAAGAAGCTGGACCTGTTGAACTTTATCTCAGAAAAAACTCAACACTAGTTTACTTGGGATTATGGAAACTTACTACTTTCAGAACACAATTAGTAGTCATCTATTTTGCATATTTGTTTTGAATTTTCATTTCAACAAATAAACATTGTAGTTAAAGTTAGTGGAATAAAATTTCTAACCTATTTAAAAATACAAAAATATTGAATTATAGTTTGGGAAGGAGAATTGATATTGTTCTCAACATCATCATAATTACAATATAGATAATAATAGCTAACATTTTTATATAGTGCTTACAATGTGCCAGATGCTTTATAATTATTATCTCAGTTTATCCTCACAGCAACCCTGGGAGGTAGATGATATTGCTATCTCCATTTTACAAATGAGGAAATTTAGGCAAATAGAAGTTAAGTGACTTGCCCAGGGTCACACAGCTAGTAAGTTTGAAATTGGATTTTAACCCAGGTCTTCCTGACTGTAGGCCTAAGACTCTATCCAATGTGCCACCCCACAGTCACTAAGTCAATAACATTTATTAAGTCCTTACTTTGTACCAGGCACCATAGTAAGCACTGGGAACACAAATACAAGCAAAAAGACACTCTCTAGAAGCTAATATTCTAATAGGGGAAGATGATATATAAGAGGAAGATGAAAAATTAGGAGACAGGAGATATAAAAAAGTACCCAGTGTAGGGGCATAATGGAGGAGTCCAATTGAAGCTTAGTGAAAAATGAAGAGATGGCTGGCCTGAATACCATTGTCAAATGGAGGTTCTGAAAGAAACCATCCAATCAGAGGCAGGGGCCACATGGGCTGAGTGTAATTATAACTGTTGATTCCAGAGATGAAGTGATTTTCCAGTTGAAGAGTTTTCTGGGAAACATAAAATGCTCAGATTAACAGAAGAGGAAATAGAATATTTAAATAAGCCCATTTTAGAAAAAGAAATTGAACAGGCCACAAATGAGTTTCCTAAGAAAAAAAGCATCAGGCCCAGATGGATTTACACATGAATTCTATGAAACATTTAAAGATAAACTAATTCTAATATTAAGTAAATTATTTGGAGCACTAAGCAAAGAGGAAGTCCTACCAAACTCTTTTTGCAAAACAACTATGGTGCTAATACCTAAATCAGGAGGAGCAAAACCAGAGAAAGAAAAATTATAGACCAATTTCATTAATGAATATGCATGCAAAAATCCTAAATAAAATACTAGCTAGAAAACTACAATATATCACAAAAATTATATATTATGACCAAGTAGGATTTATACCAGGAATGCAGAGCTGATTTAATATAAGGAGAACTATTACTGTAATTGATTATATCTATAACAAAAGTACAAAAATTATAGGATTATATCAATAGATGCAGAAAAAGCTTTTGACAAAATACAACCTCATTCCTATTTTAAAAAACACTTGAAAATATAGGTATAAATAATTTTTCCTTAAAATGATAAGAAGCATCTATCTAAACCATTAGCAAACATTATCTGTTAACAGAAATAAGCGAGAAGCCTTCCTAATAAGATCAGGATTGGATTAAGGATGCCTATTATCGCCAATATTATTCAATACTGTACTAGAAATGCTACCAATAGCAATAAGAAAAGGAAACTGAAGTAGTCAGAATGGGTAATAAAACTATCTCTTTTTGCATATGATATACTTGGAAAATCCTAGAGTTTTAACTAAAAGCTAGTTGAAATAATTACTAATGTTACCAAAGGAGCAAGATATAAAATAAGCCCACATAAATCACCAGCATTTCCACATATCTTCTGCAAAGCTCTGCAAGAGGAGATAGTTCTTTTAAAATAACTGTAGAAAATGTAAAATACCTGGGAGTATGCTTTCAA